GTGCAATTAATATATTATTAACATCGTTGTGTATACACTCTGTATGTTATAATGAAAGGATTCGATTGTGATCAGCACAGAACAAAAACTAGTGTGTGTCGCAGCCATTAGGTAAACCAGCATACATTCATGAGGATGATGAAAGTGTTTTAACTTGAGTAAAGCCTCCAGACCCCCTGCTCGTGACTCCCCCTGGCACCCCCATACACGTTCAAAACTGAGGCGATTTCACTCCAGCGCTTCTCTTTTCTCCTTACGGTTGTGATACGTTTTCGACACATTATACAGACAGTCGTGTTACTACAAAACATCAAGAGGCAGTTTCCTCCGTCTCTACTATCCAATGGAGCCGTACAGCAGCTGTTTTGCGGTCGCGCATTGGCTATTGTGAAAGTACTGACGTAATCATATAGCCGTCATCATCCCGATTTCAATCCTAAATATCAAACATGTTTGATATGATCGGGAAGGCCCCGATTTGTGTGCGAGCAGATCGGGAGGTGCAAGATTTGATCGGTGAACACCTCACATTACCAGATAATCCGCGCCGAATATCGGGACCGATCAAGGGGCTCGACAAGATTTTGCTCCGATTCTCGGGAGGGGGAAATCAGGGCTAAATCGGGCTAAAAATCCTGTAGTGTGAGCCAGGCATAAGGGGTGTTGTAGACGCGAAGCGGAGTGCCTAAAACCCCCTTAATTGTTATAAATTCACTGTAAACCACGGCTTCACGGGGCTTACTGCTTTTATAAAACGGTTATTCCATATACGTTGTTAGGTTTCACAAAATAAACATCAAATAAAGTGTAATGATATTAATAAAAACAGTATTCTTCCACCAAACAATGTAGTTCCTCAGAAACAGTTGTGGTTGCAACAAAGTGGTTGCCAAGCAACACACAAAGTAAACAAAGGTGTATGTTTGTAGAGTAATGGACCTTTTTCACATTTCCGGGTTTCTCAGCAGCGGAAGTCGTCATAGTTGGGTTAACTTGAAGAGCAGTGAATGGGAGAGTACCACAAATATATTTTTTGCATTCCCATTTGCTTAAATAGCAATAGAAAAACTCCACGATAGTGTTTTCCTGATTTTCAATAAAAGGGAAAAAAACAGAGAGACTGATAACGGCAGTCAGAAGAGAGAACGATGTCAAATTTACCGTCCCTCACTTAGACGCTGCATTAGAAACACCCTCGCATTAGCGTAAACTAGTTTTTTTCTAATTTGATGCAAAGGTGATATAATACAAAGAATAGTGTTATAAATGTACATACATTTAAAAAAAAATACAAATATGAAAACTTTCGAGGATTTATGATGCTGATGACCATTAAACACGTCATCACAGTCTTGTGAAAAGGGTCCATTTACAACAGCTTCGAACGCGGCTCAGCCAATCAGAATCAAGGACCGGAACTATCCGTTTCATAAAGGAGGCATTATGAACATGCTGCACAGTAAAACTGAAATAATAAAGGTGTGCGTGCACAGTCATTTGCCGCTGGGAAAACTATACATATTATATTATATATGTAATAATTACAATTTATATGTCAAATTTACCGTCCCCCACTTAGACGCTGCATTAGAAACACCCTCGCATTAGCGTAAACTCGTTTTTTTCTAATTTGATGCAAAGGTGATATAATACAAAGAATAGTGTTATAAATGTACATACATTTAAAAAAAAAATACAAATATGAAAACTTTTGAGGATTTATGATGCTGATGACCATTAAACGCGTCATCACAGTCTTGTGAAAAGGGTCCATTTACAACAGCTTCGAACGCGGCTCAGCCAATCAGAATCAAGGACCGGAACTATCCGTTTCATAAAGGAGGCATTATGAACATGCTGCACAGTAAAACTGAAATAATAAAGGTGTGCGTGCACAGTCATTTGCCGCTGGGAAAACTATACATATTATATTATATATGTAATAATTACAATTTATATATGTATTACATATTAAATATGACAAATTATTACATATTATGATTGTATACACTACCATTCAAAAGTTGTTGTTTTTTTTAAAGAAATTGATACTTCTATTCAGCAAGAATTCATAAAGACAGTATTTATCAAATAATTCTAAAAAAAAAAAAGTATTGTGGTTTCCACAAAAATATCAACATTGATAAAAATAAGAAATGTGTTTTGAACACCAAATCAGCGTATTAGAATGATTTCGGAAAGATCATGTGACACTGGAGACTGGAGTAATGACTGGTGAAAATGAAGCTTTGCCATCGCAGGATTAATTACATTTTAAAATCCATTAAAATAGTAAACAATTATTTTAAATGTTAATAATGTTACTGTATTTTGGTCGAATTAATGCAACCTTAGTGACCATAAGACACTTCTGGGAAAACATAATAAATTGTACTGACTCCGAACTCTTCCAAACTGCAGTATAAATGGATAATTACGAATATTTGTTAAATATATTTACATTTATTTATTTCAATTTAATATTTATAAATTTTATATAATACGATTTAAATAAATGTTTAGAAGCCTTAGGAACTTAGAAGCTAATTGTATTAGATTTTATATATGTTGTATGATGTATTTTTATTTTTTTATTTATTTTATTTAATATTGTGAGATCAACAAATTTCTTTCTGTTGTGACAGTGTTGCCTCCAGGCAACATACCTGAAAAGGACCCCCAAATTTTATTTTAGAAATAAGAATTTTAATGCCATTTTATGCAAGGTAATTTTTTTTTTACATTCTTTCATAATGCATGCTATAGAGTGTTAAATAATGCTATCATATTGTTAATGATGCATCTGGATTGCAAGTCCACTGCTGTTGTGGCCAAAAGCTTAGACAGAGCTTGTGAGATCCATCTGTTTGCTTTCTCTGAGAAATCCCAAGCTTGGCACTGAAATATGAACATAAACCCTTTTAATGGGGATCATGGGTGAAGGGATAAAAAGAAGTGTAGGATAGAGATGTGCTTATGAAAGAGGAGTGTGTTTGTAAAGGTGGAGCGCTCTTTAATGGAACTTTTATGTAACTTGGTCTTAACTTTGGCTACATACGTCGAGCTTCCTAAGTGCATTCCTCAGTTCCCCTTTTTGCTTTCTTCCTATCTTTCTCTTTCCTATCTTCTCTAACAGTCATCTATCCCCCCTTCCTCCCCAAACACACACTGACGCAGATGGCAGGTTGTGTAAGCCACTCTCTCGTGCATGACAGGTGTGAGAAAATCTCTTGGCGAATATCACCTGTGTCCACACAGACAGATACAAATTTAATACACACACACACACACTATATCAGTCTGTACAGCACGGCCTTTATTGTGACCCTTTGGGCATCTCTTATGCAACACTGAGAAAGGACAAGGAGAAACAGACAGGAAGAGAATGAGTGTGAGAGAGATGGATGCGGTAGAGTCTGACAGCATTATGTCACACCAGTTGGTGGCGCTGGCCTGCAGGTTTGGCGTCTCTCTCCCGCTGAGACCTGGAGCTCTCGTGTCATCAGAAATCATTGCTCACTGTTTACTCACAGTCCACACGCACAACACAAACTGTGCCCACATACGAGAATCAGCAGCATACAGTGGAGCTAATAGCATTTTAATAATGAAACATTACATATATAAAGACAAGCACAGCTTAAATGTGAGGTATGCATTTTATTACTTTGCAAATGCAATTCTTGAAACAATGACTATTTGCAGTCAGATGTGGCACTTGTTTTTTTGAACAGTCTGACATGTAAACTTGAATTGTTGGCAGGACTACATATTTGTTGTTTAATTGATATGTTTCTAATTCTGTTTGGCGCTGCTAGTAGCACAAAATTAATCTGGAGTTTAACAAGACAACATTCAAATATTTAAATATATTTGAGTACGTCATTGCAATCAAAATGGAAATGTATGCATTTAATACAAATTTTTAGACATTTATTAAAGTTCTGTATGGAGTTCTGGTCCAGAAAAGCTTGATGTAAATATCTAGCATATTTTAAAATGAATTCATAAAAAAAAAAAAAATGTTAATAATAATTATAATCATAATTTAAATTTATTAATAATTATTATAAATAAATATGAATAATAACTTGAAATAATTATAAAAAGTAAATTTACGTTAGATATGGTTTTGCTGTGTCAAAAAATATTTAAATATTTCATTATCCACATGGCAGTGTATGCATTTTTTCACACATTTTTACACATTTATTGAATTTCCATGTGAATTTCTTGACCATCAAAGCTTCACATTAATATCTAGAATATTTTAAAATCACTTCATTTAAAAAATAAAAAACATAAAATAAATTTTTATCTAAATAATAATAATAATTAGAAAACAAACATTAATTACCCCTAGATGTGCCCTTTAAGTTCATTAGAGTGACTCAAACCAAAAACTCACAAGTTCATAAGTCTTTTTGACTGATTTCTTTTGTATTTTGTAGTGTGTGCGTTTGTGAATCAGATTACACTGGTCGTGCTTTGTGTTTGTCTTTTTGTCTCATCAAATTCAGATTGCTAACTCGCAACTTGGGTAAAATTGCTGTACAGTGTGATTTTATTTAGGAATGGCACTGCATATGTAGTAGCAGCGCAGCGAACTAAAACCAAAGAATTACATTTTAGTTTGTGGTACTTCACGAATGAATCCTGTTTACAAACAAATTCAAACAAAAGTTTGAACAGTTGCTAATTGTGAACTTAGCTCAGATCTTTTAATGACACATCTGAGAGTGAATATAATCATTCTAAGTACCCAACTAAAAGAGATTGATAAATGTTGTATTAATGTCACTTACAAGGATTCGTTTTTTTGTCTTTGTTGTAAGATGCTGACACCTTTACACTGTATCCTCTGTTCTGCAGTGTGTGTTCTGCAGCTTCACTGTTCAGCGAGGTTGAGTCATGAAGCATAAAATGAGACGTCACTTTTCATTAGAGGACAGGAGAGATGAACAGACAAAAAAAAAAGATTGCTCTGGGAGGAGATGTTGAGAGAGAGAGGCTAAAATAGACTGGACACTGAGAGGAAGGAAAGAGAAGATTGAAGTTGGCATGTGTGTGTATGTGTGCGCAGGTGTGTGTGTGTGTGTGTGTGCAACATCTGCATCATCAGTGTTCTTCTGATTCCTCTATTTCTTGAAACAGACAACCGTAGCAACACACGTTGTGTAGCCAGGCAGCAGGATCACTAAACTAAGCCTTTCGTTTGATGAGGACTGAGAGCAAGCAAGGGTAATGCACTGGAAAGTTGTGCTGAGGCAGAGATTTCTAGGTATACAAGTATAATTTTAATGAGATCTTAATCTGAGAAACATCCTTCAAGAGATTAGACATCATATCCATGACTGTGTAGAAACAGAGTGTGTGAGACAAAAAGAGAGAGAGAGGGCGAGGGAATTATGCAGGACAGGCTTTCAGGGTTGTGTATTTATGAACATCTATTTTTAATATTGTCTTTTTTCCCCCCAGTATTTGTGACTCCAGATCAGGTCAGCAGGATTTGTGTGTGTGTTTGTGTGGGTCAGATTTTGTACTATCTCTGTACTATCTCAATGTCCCTACAAGGATAACAAAACCTGAAATCACCTACACTGTGGGGACCAGCCAACAGTTTCCATGAAGAATACGGCTTAAAGGGACAGTTCACCCAAAATGAAAATTCTGTCATTATAAACTCATTCTCATGCCATTTCATACATGTATGCCCCCCCCCCCCCTAACATTGGTGGAAAACCCTTCAATAGCAATATGCAGATCTTTTTTCTGAGTTGAATCGGTTGATCCAGTTCACAAAATAGGTCTGAATTATTCATTCACAAATAGTATTGATCTGGTTCAATGATTTAGTCACAGTGGTTAACAGCTCACTTGAGAGAAAGATTACCAGTGAGTAATACCATAAATGTCAGTCTGTTTGTCACATAAGCTATTGTATGACTTCAGAAAACGTGTATAAAAAAGTCATTTGCTAATTTTATGATACTTTTGTGATTTTTGAAGCTTAAATGCTCAAGTCCCCATTCATTGTAAATTCAAGGAAAAGAGCGACCAATTCTTCAAAACCACAAAAGCAAGAAAGTCATACAGGTTTGTAACAACATGAAAGTGAGTAAAAAAGGGCAGAAGTTTCATTTTTGTGTGACTTTTCCTTTGAATAAAGGATCTAAAATAATGTTTTAAAGGGGCAGTTTGCAGTTATTTTTGTTTGTTTTTGTTAAACATGATTTTACAAAAGTATTATTCTTTTCTTAAAGGAACAAGTTCACCCAAAAGTTAAAATCCTGTCATCATTTACTCAAGTTGTTCCAAACCTGTATGAATTATTTTGTTTACAGAACACAAAAGAAGATATTTTGTCAAGTGCTTTTTTTATCCATACAATGGAAGTCATTGGTAATCAAAATATTCTTCAAGATATTTTCTTTCGTATTTCACAGAAGAAAGTAAGTCATACAGGTTTGGACCAACATGAGGATCAATTATATGAGTGACAGAGTAACAGAATTATAATTTTTGTGTCAACTATTCTTTTAAGTTATACCTTTTATGCACCTTTAAAATCTAAAAAGTTTTCTGTGATAGTTTTAGGAGTAGAGTATATAAATATAACTAGCTCAGTATACAAAATGTGTGCATATTCATGGGTTTTTATTGTGCGTGTGTGAGAAAGAGAGTTTGTGCGTGTGCTTGCATGTGTGTTCACATCAGTTGACTCACCTGGGAAAGCAAATGATAGGTTACATAATCAGGGCAAATAAAATCACATCAGATTATTTTAACTAAACACACACACACACACACACACACATATACTGTGTTCCTAACTGTGCACATCTGTATCTCCCTCCTTCTCTTCCCTTCTCCTGGCTTATGTGTGTGTATCTTGGCAGCTGTGTAACGGGCCCAAATGCAGATTCATTTAAGTCCTTGTGAAAACAGATTTTGTAAGTCTTCACTGCAATGCCTCCAATGTGGTAAAATGCAGTTGGGACTGGTGCCACCAGAGGGCACACTCTGAATCTTTTTTTTTCACATCAATGTAACTTTAACCCCTGAAGCTTTAAAAGCCCTATCTAGACCTTTTATGAAAGCAAGCACGCAGGCCGTTAACTCTGGATGCTCTGAGCCGGATGCTAATCGAATGTGAGCACAATTATTGTGATTACTTTAATTGATAATAACAGGGCTTGAAGATCAAGTCATGTCTGTCTTAATGTGTGTGTTCTAGTTATGGGTAAATCAGGAGGAAAACATCGTAGTCGAGGTTGCCGAAAGCTCCAGCGAGGTGCAGAATGGCCATGCAGAGGCCAGTCCGAACCCCAGCACCGACTGCTTGTGTCTGGGCCAGCCCACTCAGAACCGGGACCAGATGAGGGCCAATGTCATCAATGAGATCATGAGCACAGAACAACATTACATCAAACACCTGAAGGACATCTGTGAGGTAAAAAAAAAACACTTACCAGCCCTTTCAAAGCTCAGGAGACCTGATTGAGTTCTCTTTTAAGCATCATATTTAGTTGTCTCAGATGTTTCTCCTAATATTCCAGAGAAGAAATATACATAAACACAGCTGAGACAACTGTTAACACAGTAAAAGTATACAACTATAAAGTTTATGTGAATAGCATAGCTCCAATCATTTGTTCTTGTCAGAATCCGATGAGACATGTTTGAATTTATATTGAAATATTTTAATTGTTGGCATGTTATCTTGCTAAATGTGAGCATAGTATGTGTGACTTTGCTGAAATCTCATAGGGAACTCCAGATAAGACACATGTGAGATTACTATGCTCTTTTCTGTGATATGCAAAGTCTCCATTTGCTCTAAATTTAATTTCCTGTCTAAGAGAAATTGTATGTCCAAAACTGTATGTCCATGAAATGTTTAAAACTTACACTACCATTCAAAAGTTTGGTGACAGTAAATGTTTTTTTTGAAAGAATTGAATACTTTTATTCAGAAAGGATGCATTAAATTGATCAAAGGTGACTGTAAAGAGATTTTAAAAATCTACAAAAAAAATCTATTTTAAGTTCTTTTGAACTTTGTATTCATCAAATAATCCTTAAAACATCAAAGCAGCACAACTGTTTTCAATAATAACAGCAACTAATAATAACAAATTATTCTTGAGAATAATAACTGAAAACTGGAGAAATGAGTCTGACTGCTGAAAATTCAGCATTGCCATGTCAATATATATATATAAATAAAAACAGTTAATACATGCAGCCTTGGTGAGCATAAGAGACGTATTTCAAAAACATGATACAAATCTAAAAAACCTTAACTTTTGAATGGTAGTGTCAATCTGTGTTTATGTTTGCGTTTTAGGGGTATCTCCGTCAGTGTAAAAAGAGAAGAGACATGTTTAACGACGATCAGCTGAAAGTTATCTTTGGAAATATCGAAGATATTTACAGATTCCAGTTGAGCTTCGTCAGAGACCTGGAGAAACAGTTTAACACGGAAGAACCTCATCTCAGCGAGATCGGACCTTGCTTTTTGGAACATGTCTGTATTGAAATACAGAAAATCACACATATATACACAATGAGTCGAGGATACAGATTTTTTTATGTTTGTATGTTTTTTTTTTTTTTTTACAGCAAGATGGATTTTGGATCTACTCGGAATACTGTAACAACCACGTTGATGCCTGCATGGAGCTCACACGTCTCATGCGAGACGCACGATACCAGCACTTCTTCGAAGCTTGCCGATTGGTTCAGCAGATGATCGACATCGCCATTGATGGCTACCTGCTCACACCAGTCCAGAAAATCTGCAAATACCCTCTACAGCTGGCAGAGTTACTGAAATACACAGTACAAGAACACAGGTACACACACAAACACAGATGTGCGAACTCCAGGTGCATCGTGCAGATAATGGCGGTCAGGTCCACAAAATATATGACTGTGTAAATGACAAATTTTGAACTGACATATCTGGTTTCCACTTATCATTATGACATCCCTCGTTTTCGCTCTTCTCTTTCGCTCATTCTTTTCCCTTTCTCTCCCAGTGATTATCGGTATGTGGCTGCTGCGCTAGCTGTAATGAGAAATGTCACTCAGCAAATCAACGAACGCAAACGGAGGCTTGAGAACATTGACAAAATCGCCCAATGGCAGGCCTCTGTACTAGACTGGGAGGTGTGTGGCCAAAGTTTTTCAGACAAATTTAATTATTAGGATAAAAAGGAGAGCGATGGAATAGTTGAACCTGAAAATATATATAGTAATAATAGTAAATGAATAAATAAGCAGCACAACTGTGTGTATACATGTACCCTACTGGCCAAAAGTTTGGTATAATTAAGTTTTTTATGTTTTTGAAAGAAGTCTCTTAAAAAAAAGAAAGAAGTTATTATTGGTGCTCAAGTGTTAATAATAGTTCTTATTATTAACAAGTTTTTGCTGTGTAATATTTTTGTGGAAAGGATTCTTTCTCAGATTCTTTGATGAATAAAAGTTCAAAAGAACAGTATTTATTTAGAAATGGAAATCTTTTATAACATTATAAATGTCTTACTGTCACTTTTGATCAATTTAATGCATCCTTGCCGAATAAAAGTATTAATTATTATTATTTTTAAAAATCATTTTTACCCCTAACTTTTGTTTTCCACTAAAATATTAAGCTGCACAAACTGTTTTCAACATTGATGATAATAATACTAAATGTTTCATGAGCACCAAATCAGCATATTAGAATGATTTCTGAAAGATCATGTGGCACTGAAGACTAGAATATTGGCTGCTGAAAATGACATATTAAATTGAAAATTACATATTACAAATATATATAGAAATTGTAATAATAATTTCACAATATTACTGTTTTACTGTAGATCAGATAAATGCTGCCCTGGTGAGCATAAAGAAACATTAAAATTATTATTGTGTTTAATATCTCCTTTTTCAAAAGGAGACTTGATCTAAAAAATTCAAAAAAAAGATGCATGTTACTGACATGCAACCTGCACCACAGACACCTTCCACTAAAATATTAAGCTGCACAAACTGTTTTCAACATTGATGATAATAATACTAAATGTTTCATGAGCACCAAATCAGCATATTAGAATGATTTCTGAAAGATCATGTGGCACTGAAGACTAGAATATTGGCTGCTGAAAATGACATATTAAATTGAAAATTACATATTACAAATATATATAGAAATTGTAATAATAATTTCACAATATTACTGTTTTACTGTAGATCGGATAAATGCTGCCCTGGTGAGCATAAAGAAACATTAAAATTATTATTGTGTTTAATATCTCCTTTTTCAAAAGGAGACTTGATCTAAAAAATTCAAAAAAAAGATGCATGTTACTGACATGCAACCTGCACCACAGACACCATATTGGATTTGAGAGCTGCATATTGAGACATAAACACATCAGAGCCTCAGTGGTGTCAGATGTAATGATTCATTTGTTTGTGTGTGTGTGTGCAGGGTGAGGATATTCTGGACAGGAGCTCAGAGCTTGTGTACACTGGGGAGATGTCCTGGATATATCAACCATACGGGCGCAGCCAAACCAGAATCTTCTTCCTATTCGATCATCAGATGGTCCTCTGTAAGAAGGTGAGAAAATGAAGAGGGGAGAAAGAGGGGATGAAGGAAATAATGACATTGTAAGTTCATTTTTTGAGTCCGCTTTAATTGGGACACGTGGGTCTGGAAATGAAGTGTAGAGAACATGTGAAAAATTAAGTGATGCAGATAAATAGATAGATATACAGATACATGCATACGTGTTTTTTTCCTAGTAGGGATCTTTGAAGGAAGGAAGCAGGCAGCTGATGATGTTCTCAGCACATTGCAATCTGGAATTTTCACTTTGAGAGCAAAGATGCAGAACCGAACCAGACAGGCATGCAGAAGCAAATAACTGATTAAATTATGGTAGTGTAGCACAACCGAGGGAAAGAAAACGCATGTGTATCAGTATATTAGGATCTGTGTGTTCAGTCTTTGTGACAACAGCCTAATAAAGCTGTGCTGTCTGTCATTAATGTTAATCGAACAACAAAAGACAAAGAGACAATCACTCACCGCTCTTGACTGAATCACTTTTGTAATTAATTTTATTATTATTTATTATCATATTACTGTACCTGTATGGCCTACTACTGTTAGACCTAAACAATTTTCTAAATGAAATTCAGGTCCTGAGTTTAATTGATCATATTGGTTAAACAAATTACAATATTCAGTGATGTGATTCGTTCTCTGCGTGGAGTAACGTCTGGCAGAGTCGCAGCTTGTACTTACAAATAGAAAGCAAACAAGTAGTATTAAGTCATTAATTTTAGTTAACAATGCTATGATAAATTTGAACAGAGATTTTTTATTCTTATTTTACATGTATACTTGTAAAATAATGGATCATTGGGTCATGAATATAGTCTCAAATGTCATGGAAAAGTCATGGAAATTCATTGGTAAAAATGTGTATGAACCCTGTAGAAGCCTTTTGTGTTTTAAGTGTCCTCCAAACACCCTCAAGCTCAAAGCACATGGCCCATTTTTACTCGCTCCAAAAATGTGCAAAAACAGCTCTCTTCAGCAAACTCTGAGATACACAGGCAATTCAGCAACACAAAAACCGAGACAATCAGCACTTTTCACATCAGTTTCTTACAAGACTGATATGATATTACCCATACCAGCTCTTTACCAGCTAATCAGTCAAATCAACACAGTATTTCCATAACCAGCAAGCAGTCTTTCAATTTGTATCCAGTTATTAATTGTTTCAAAAGTATTTTAATGAACACGCTAAACAGACTGGAGTCTTCACTATGACTAAATAGTCTTCACTAAATCACTATAATCTCTAAAAAATAGGTAACATATATTTTCCCATATTGTATGTATATATGTATAAACCGACATATATTTAAACTTATAGAAAGAAATATACAATTGCAACATTTTATTCAAAAATATTTTTATTATGTACAAAAATCAAAAATTTGGGGTAAGTACGATTTTTTTCAGTCTCTTATGCTTAAGGCTGCGTTTATTTAATCAGAAATACAGTGAAAACCGTAATATTGTAAATTGTTATTACATTATTAAATAACTTTTTTGATTGTGATATATTTTAAAATGTAATTTATTCCTGTAATGGCAAAGCTGAACCAAACCACGACACATTTTTTTCAGGGTTCTTTGATAAATACAAAGTTCAAAAGAACAGCATTTATTTGAAATAGAGATCTTTTGTAATTGTAATTATAAATGTCTTTACCATCACTTTGTCACATATCTTTTTATCATGGCCAGTCACACTTGCTGTCACACTGAATACAACCTCCTGGTGTAACAAGTACCTTGATGTGTGTGGAGAGGAAAGGAGGTGGAAGATGAGAATGATGTATTAGATGTTTCATGCTGGAACAGAATAATCAATCAATCGTTTCATTCTATCAGTAATCTGTCTGGATTAATACAGACATAA